GTAGTTGGAGGATGTGGATGGTATTGATGCTGATGCTTCCCTCCCCTAATGGACTTTATTTTTCCCCTTTATTCTTTTTTTTTTTTTTTTTTTTTTTAATATATGTCAATAGACAACATTGACTTCAGAGAGGAAGGAGGTAATATTGATTTCAGAGAGGAAGGAAGAAGGAGAGAGAGATAGAAACATCAGTGATGAGAGAGAATCATTGATTGGCTGCCTTCTGCACCCCACTCCCCTTACTGGGGATCAAGCCTGCAACCCAGGCATATGCCCTTGACTGGAATTGAACCCGAGACCCTTCAGTTCACAGGCCAACACTCTATCCACTGAGTCAAACCAGCTAGGGCTCTCTTTATTTTTGATGGTGTCTTCAAGCAGCATTTATTTTGAAAGTTGACTATTTGCTTGAGGCTATCATTCATAGTATGAATTCTGTATATGTATAGGTCTATTTGTCTTTTATAGGAAAACCCAAATTTGGATCTAAAGTTCTATAAAGTTGAGTAAACTGTTCCTGCCATATTCTTTAACTTCATGATCTCTGATACCATGTTTTAACTGATGTCTCTGGTTCTAAACCATCAAATAAATACATCGAAAAGGGTTTAAGCCTGGCAAAAAGAAAACTCTGCTTATGTTTTAGCCTGGGGGACAAAAAAAAGTAATCACCTTTTGTCTTCTTTAGAGATAATTTTCAGCAGCAGGGACCTCAGATCGCGGCTCTGTTCTTCTATTTAGGATTTGCACCTTCCCTGTTAGACTAGATGAAGGAATAATACAGGGGATGTGAGTGACAGGCAGCTTGAAATGCCAGCACAGCCCTGTGGCAGCAGGGCGTCAGCCCAGGAACCTTATGCACTGAAGACAGAGAAACGCCCTTCACTTCCTCAGGCCAGAGGCCGGTGTTTTCCTCTGGTCAGCTCAGCATCAGGCCTTGACCTCCTGATTGGCACTTTAACCAGAAGTGAGCACAATAGTAGTTCTTCCAGACTTTATTATTTTGCAAAAGGTTAATTATAGCTTTTAATCTTTCTAAGTATTAAATAAGTCTCTTAATAGATTGCAGTTTGTACTTTCAGCCAGACATGGCTTCTAAATCCACCAGAGACTGAAGAGAAAACCCTGACCTTTTACAAATGGAATCACAGGACCAGTCTGTGGGCCAGACAGCTGTAGCCTGGCTGACTGTGGTCATTGTCCTTCAGTGGCATGCTGAAAGAAACAAGGCTTGTCTGAGTCACTTTAATGTAGGTTGACAGCATATCTGAGTTTTGTAGTTGACTAAAAATGCATTGTGTTGCTAACTATATGCTGTATCTCTCTATACCCACTCCCATGTCCCATAACAAAATAAAGTTGGAGTAATATCTTACATGGTAAGAAATTCAGATTTGAGAATTTTAGAATAGCTGAGCAGTGAAGGGCTGGGATTATATAAGAAACAGGATGAAGGCCTTTGAGTTGCTGGGCTGCTCTCAGGATTTGATGTTTGACCACTGAGCTCTGGAAGTTCTTTGTGCAGCTTACCAGGGAGATGGTTAAGCCCCAGAAAAAACTGATTGGTCAATGGTGTAAAAGGCAATTAGGATTTGCCTTGGGAAATTGCTTTCTGCAAGGGCAGCCTGGTTTTTGTCTGTAGGGGTGCATTAGGGGTATAGAATGAGAGGGACTTGAGTTATGCTTGGCCACCTCTTGGCCTGAGCCTCCCAATGGCCAGTCTGCATCTTGGATACTTGATTAATGTGGGTTAAGTAGCATCCCCTGTAAGTGTCTCCAGTTTCCTATCAAAGCTTGTAGTGTTCTGGAAAGAGCTCTACATGGGAGTCAGGAAACCTGGGCTCCAGTCACCCATCTCTCTCTGCTGTATGAGATAGAGCTTGTTCAGTTTCTGAAAAGCTTTAACTTTTTTTACTCTTAGCATTCTTTCTGAGTTTACTTATTTCCTTTACCTGTGCTGTTTTGTGTAATTGTAACTTTTTTTTTTTTTTGGTTGGGAACAGTGACCAAGTTGCCTACTTTAAAGTCTTTAAAGTAACCTCCACAGTTCCCTGAACTTAGTATGGTCCCAGCACATTCTTTTGCTTGTCTCCCCTTATGCATCTGGAGCTGTCCCTATGTGTGCTTTATATACAGCTTTTATTCAGTCCTCACAGCCACCCTCTGACTAAGGATACATTTATGGACTCAGTTGCCAAACATTTGTTAACAACTATTATTGTCTTATGGAATTTGTGGTTAAGTAAACCAGGCAGTTAACAGATACAGTGATAGGAGGAAAGTAACTTAGGTGATCAGGGCAGCTTCCTGGGAGAAGTGCCATCATTGCCATGATCTGAGGAAACACAGGTGTTAGACTGAAGGTTGGTCTGTGCTGTGGAGTGAATAGGAGCCTGGACCTCAGAGTCAGGTAGACTTGGTTTAAGTCTCAGATTCGCCACTCTCTAGATCACTTTTTTTTAAAAACCACTCTGTAGGCAAATCACTTACCTCTCTATTTTCCTCACTGTAAAATTATAGGGAATTGGCAAAAGTAAAGGAAATAATGCACCTTGAAGTGCCTAGATCATAATATGAGCTTAAATGTGAGCTATTATTATGAACATTAGTATTTTTGAAATCATATGTATAAGATTTGTTACTTTTACTACATGCAAATTGTACCTCAATAAAGTACTGTTAGCATGGAAAAAGTCATTATGGCTTGAGCAGCGTGTCAACTTAGAGGAAAAAATGAACAAAGTATTAGCAATCAAACTCAGCAATGTATCAAAAGGATAATCATAGTGTTGTGATGATAAACTGGTTCTCTGGGGTGGCCTGTAAGCCCTCTTTGTACTGTTCACTGATTTTCATGGTGTAAGAACTCCCACCAGTCAGTTGCAAGTTACAAACATGAAATCACTAAAGGTATAGTTGGGAAGAGATGTGTAGAATCAGCTCTCATGAACTGGTATGATCCAACTTCAACTCATCATAAGCAATAATAATTTCCCCAAGAATGCAAGACTAATTCAACATTTGAAAATCAATTAGTGTAACCTCACCACACTAACGTCTAAAGAAAAAGGAAAAAAAAACTGTAAACCAAAAAGTATACTTAGTTCTACACTTTGCAAACTAGAGCCATCTAAACAGATGCTGTGACCATACAGTCCAGTTCAGGCCCCACTATGCTCTGTATTGCTTGTTCCCTTTTTTTATTCATTGCTCTGGTCATTGCTATTTCTTTATAAACACCTAGATCACACCTTCTTTTCATGGTTACTGCTTTTTGATTCAACATGTCTTAATAGACACAAGTGACTCTGAGGAGGGAGAGAATCTCCTATCTCATGCAATAAAATATATTGAAGGAGGAGGGAGAGAATCTCCTATCTCATGCAATAAAATATATTGAAGTACATAAATCTATATAATTAATTTTATAATTATATAGTACATAAATTTTACTCACATCTCCCAAGACAGAGAAGTATATTTGTCTAATTTTACTTCCTTGACATACTCTTTGTGCCATATTTTTTTATGGTTGCTCCAGTGTGGTCATAAGATGCTAAAATTAAGGCTTAATTCTTCTCTACTGATTTGGGTCAAGAATACTGTCCTGTTTTTAATCTTTGTATCAACTCCTGACACATTACTTAGTCTGTAGAGAAGCTCAACTAATGTTTTGATGAATAGATAAATGAATAAAAGATAAATCTGAGTATTCCTCATTTGCAGAGGTCCTCCAGACTTCAAGGTGAGATCAAGGTGAGATCACCATAGAAATAGCTATTCCTTGAAAAGAATGACAATCTCAACTCCAGTGTAGTGAGTGTTCGCATTTCTCTGCTCATTAGAAAGACATTTATAAAATGGGGGTTGGGGAAGGAGTGGGAAGATATCAATTAAAATTCTCTAGAGAACTTCTTTTAAAGAGATCTGGGTCACCCATGTCATCTGAAAGTACTGTGGGGCAGGCAGAATGTTAAATGATGGATATTGATTACAGCTGTGAAATTAGCTTTAGCACAATTTTATGGTGTGTTGAGCCTTTGTATGTTGTTCATGCACTTCAATATGTTCGTTCTCTTTTTAAAAAATCCATGTTTAAGTACATTTATATTGATTGAGAGGGGACCCTGGACCAATATTTTACTAATGTAAGTAACTGTACACTTTTTTAAATATATATTTTATTGATTTTTTACAGAGAGGAAGGGAGATAGATAGAGAGCTAGAAACGTCGATGAGAGAGAAACATTGACCAGCTGTCTCTTGCACACCCCCTACTGGGAATGTGCCGCAACCAATGTACATGCCTTTGACCGGAATCAAACCTGGGACCTTTCAGTCCGCAGACCAACGCTCTACCACTGAGCCAAACCGGTTTCGGCAGTAACTATACACTTTTGATTTTTGACATGTTGATCTCATCTATGGTCTATTTAATATCTAATTCTCAATTATCTGCTTTACTATATTATTTTAGTGAAATAGAAATAGAATGGTAGGTGTTCTCTGGGCTCTGGAATAGCAGCATGAGTTAATATGATCTGTGAAATTTCAAAGATCGTTGGCAAGTAGGCTGAGGAGAGGGTGTATCTATTTGGCTACTGGGGAAGACAAGGTTGGGTGGGATAATTCACCCCCAGAGGAGGTCAGGGCAAAAGACTTGCTCTGTTACATGAACAATACTTTTGAGTTTCTTGATTTGTTTGTCAGCTTTACAAAAAAAGAAAAATAACCTTTTATTTAGGATAATAATGGACATTGATTGTCATTCTCCACCAAATCCAGCTTTTTATTTATCAAAAAACATACCAAATTACTCCCCAGCACTGATTATCCTTCAAGCTAGCACTTGTTTCAGAAACCTGTAGACATTAATAAATCGACACTTGAGTTATGATCAGGTTTGATTTCAGTGTCCCAAATACCAATGGTCATCATTTTCACATTGAATCTGATCTGTATTTATTCTAATTTTACTAATAGAAGTATTTTTTCATCAGGGTTGGATGAATGAAATTTACAACTATGATCCAGAAACTTACCATGCAACTTTGACGCATTCAGTCTTTGTTCGACTTGAGGGTGGGACCTTAAGACTTTCAAAGCCCAATAAAAATATATCTAGGAGGGCAAGCTACAATGAAACAAAGCCAGAGGTCACCTATATCAGCCAGAAAATCTATGACCTTTCAGACAGCAAGGTAAGTCCAACTAATTTAGGAAACTTAGATGAGTGAAAAACATTTTTCCCCTAAAAAGTGTGTGTGTGTGTGTGTGTGTGTGTGTGTGTGTGCACAGTATTAGTATAATTTAGAGAAGAACCTTTCAAATGTTAATGTCCATATGAATCTCAGAGCATCTTTTTATTTTATTTTTTAAAAACTTTTTGTTGATTTCAGAGAGAGGAAGGGAGGGGGAAATTATAGACATCCATGAGAATCATCTATCGGCTGCCTCCTGCATGCCTTCCATCGTGGATCAATCCTGCAACCCAGGCATATGTCCTAACTAGGAATCGAACCGTGACATCCTTGGTTCTTAGGTCAATGCTCAACCACTAAGCCACACCAACCAGGCTCCTGAGCATCTTTTTAAATGCAGACTTGAATTCAGCAGTTCTGAATGGGGCCTGAGAGTCTGCATTTTTATGAACTCCCAGGTGATACCCATGCTGCTGGTCAGGAACCACACTTCTAGGAACAAGGGCATAGCACACTTTTCTGACTATGAGAGTTAAATTTTTCAGTCAAATAAAAAGCTGTAGGTAGTGGTGCTAGGATAATAATTAATGAAGTCTCTATAAATGTGAAAATTAATGCAAAATAACTACATTTTGATAAAAGTATTATATGCTTGAGTTTTTGAGAAATGTAAATTATTTGTTACTCCAAAAAGTTATAGATTCTCTGTTCTTCTTATAACTCATAAGACTGATCTTTAAGATTTTCCAAAATTATATAATTTAAAAAATATATATATTTTATTGATTTTTTACAGAGAGGAAGAGAGAGGGATAGAGAGTTAGAAATATCGATGAGAGAGAATCATCGATTAGCTGCCTCCTGCACACTCCCCACCGGGGATGTGCCCGCAACCAAGGTACATGCCCTTGACCGGAATCGAACCCAGGAGCTTTCAGTCCGCAGACCGACGCTCTATCCACTGTGCCAAACCAGTCTCAGCAAAATTATATAAATGTTTAAAATAGCTTTAGTTTTAGAATTTTTCCTCTAGATCTAGTTTTAAAAATTCTTGTTTTCTTCCCAGCTTACATTTGGCCCAGGGTCATTAAACTCAGTTGATATCCAGACTTAGTTGATGAAGAACCACTTATGTAATTAATGTGCTATTATTACCTGAAAATTATACATATTTTTAGTTCTTGGAAAATTCTTAAACATCTGCTTTCTATAATAATTTTGAAGAATAACAAGTCATTTCTAAAATCTTATTACAAAATCTATAGTCATGTTATAGATAAGTAGAAATTATTTCACATTCATCATTTTAGTAAAAAATACTATAAAGTTTGCATTTGTACTCTACATATTTTAATGCACAATGTAGCAAATTCTTAATTTAGTATGTGAATCATCGCTTCCCTTTCTCTGTAGATTTATCTTGTACCTAAAAGTTTGGCTCGAAAACGAATCTGGAATAAAAAATATCCCATTTGCATAGAGCTTGGTCAACAAGATGACTTTATGTCCAAGGCCCAAACTGACAAAGAGACTTCTGAAGAAAAGCCACCAGCTGAGAGAGACTCAGGAGTTGAGGACCCTAAGAAGCCACCCCATCCTCAGGAAGGAACAAGATCTGGCCAGAGAGATCAGATATTGTATCTCTTTGGGAGAACTGGCCGAGAAAAGGAGGAGTGGTTTAGGAGATTTATTCTGGCATCTAAGCTGAAGTCGGAAATCAAGAAGCCATCTGGTATCTCTGGAAGTAAAGCAGGTAATGACAAGTGTGCTAAATGTTTATGTGTTTTTAAAGGGCTTGTAGGAGAATTGACATCCCCAGATAGAAAGGAAGGGAACCCACTCTGAATTAATGACTGTCTGCCACCTAAGGTATGTTCTCATGAGTCATTTGCCTTTTAGGCCAATCACTGTGACTCTATACAGAATCATTCAACCAGTGATGAAACTATTTGCAGGTGTATGTTTTTAGCCTTTGGTGGTTCCTTAGGATTAAATTTATGTATTATATAAATTTCTAAAAATTTCCTCTGAAAGAAGAAGCAACAGCACAACTATTTTTATAATGAGACAGCTAGTGCTATCAAGCCCCTGGGCTCAATTATGTCTCCCAGCAAAATGTGGGATCACCATATAAATGCAGACCATATAAATGCAGCATCCTCTGGCATCTAGACTCAATGCATTTGCATCGATGATCATGACCTCTGCTCATTTTCCTATCCCTCTACCCCATGTCCTCTGCTTGGAACTTCACTGAACTTTATTGTGACCTATCACTGCTTATTACATTCTAGAGGCCTGGGGCATGGATTCGTGCACCATTGGGGTCCCTCAGCCTGGCCTGCCCTCTTGCAATCTGGGACCCCTTGTGGAATGTAATAGTGTATGAAGTGGCAGGGGGCTGGGGAGGAGCCTGGGTCGGGCACTGCGCTGCTCCCGCTCATCCCTGCTGTGCCTGCTGCTGCCTCAGTAGCACACTGCTACAGAGACTGGAGAGGCTAACCCACTGCAGCTGCGCTCACCAGGTGTGAGCACACTGACCACCAGGGAGTAGCTCCTGCATTGAGTATCTGCCCCCTGGTGGTCAGTATGCATCATAGCGACTGGTCAAACAGTCATTTGGTCGCTTAGGCTTTTAGATAGATAGATAGATAGATAGATAGATAGATAGATAGATAGATAGATAGATACTATTCCCTTTACCTGGAATGCTCTTCCCCATCCTGGGCCAAGAAAATGCCAGTTATTTCAAGAGGCAGTCCAGAGGTCACTACCTGTGGAAATCAGTACTGGGGTAAGCACCTCTCCATTCTGGTGGGCAGAGTGGTCACCCCCTTCTTTCTTCCCTAAAAGTCCTTTAGTCATGCTTCAGCTGCAATACTTTTTATAGAAAATTGTGATTTATTTGACTAGGTGCCCAAGTTCAAAGGCAGGGATTATTCTCCATTTTGATGTGGAATTGGCCTAGAAAAGTGCTTGATAAAAACCTTATTGAATGGAAGATGGCACGTTTGAAATTGCCATGAACTGTGGATGAACAATTACCTTTCTGCCCACTTTCCATTTGCCCCTGGGTATGTGCCAGTCCTTTATTTGACCTTAAGAGATCACTGGGAAAAAGAAAAAAAAGTACGTACTGTTGTATTTCATGGCTCCCATTACTCTAAATGATCTTAGGGAGGAATAAAAACTGTTCTAAAAAATTATCTATTATTAGTGGTGAGTACCCTATCTAATAAAGAGGGAATATGCTAATTGACCCTCATGTTGTCACAAAGATAGGGAATATGCTGATTGACTGTCCAACCCTCAAATAGGGCAGCGCTAATTGGATGCCCTGCTCTCAAAGATGGTGGTGTCCACAGCCAATAAGGAGGGAATATACTAATTTAATGCCACGCCCTCAAATATGGTGGTGCCCACAGCCACAAGATAGCGGTGCCCAGTCCCCTCAGCCCTGCCAGGGCAGCAGGCAGGTGGCAAAGCCAGGCTTGCCTCCAGGTGGACCCAGCCACTCTGCACACCTGCCTCCAGAGTCCCCCAGTCCCCTCTGTCCCCCAGCCACCCAGGTCCGGCCTGAAGTGCAGGCAAGCCTCGATGGCTGCTGCCTAGGGCCCCCAATGCTCAAATAGCTAGGGCAGCAGCAGAGGTGTAATGAGGCGTCACCTTTCCAATTGCTGGGTTGCCTCCTGTCCCTGAGGGCTCCTGGACTGTGAGGGGGGCAGGCCGGGCTGAGGGACTCCCCACTCCAGTGCATGAATTTTCATGCCCTGGGCCTCTAGTTACCTTATAAATATTTCTTAAATAGTAATTTGATAGCATTTTAGCTGCTTTTACTTACAACCTTATGACTTATCACTATTTTTAAAATAGTTATTTGATAACCTTTTAGCTGCTTTTCTCAATGTAACCCAGTGGTTTTGCTCTGTATTTCATTTACTTTGTAATCCTTTCTTTCATCTATATTAACAGCCCTCACTTCTTTGCTCCAGGGGTTTTGCCCTCACACAGCAGACACAGCAGTCCCTCGGGACACCTGACCCACAGTCGCAGCAGCAGTAAAGGCAGCGTGGAGGAGATTATGTCCCAGCCAAAGCAGAAGGAGCTGATGGGCAGTGTGCGGCAAAAGATGCTTCTAGACTATAGCGTGTACATGGCTAGATGTGTCCCCCAAGAGAATCGAAGCCCCCAGAGGAGTCCCGTGCAGAGTGCGGAGAGCAGCCCCACGGCTGGAAAAAAGGTAATTCTGGCTGCCAAGGAGTGGCTTTTCTGATCTTCCATTTAAACTCATTTCTTCATACATAAGCACCTCTGTGTACCAAGCCCTGTTCTAGGCATTGATATCACAGTAATGAACAAGAAAGAGATGGCCCTGCCCTCAGGTAACTTGAAGTCATGGAGATAGCAAGAAACAAACATCAGGTGGTGATACGAATTAATAAAGCCAAATAAGGGAATACAGAAGGTGGCCAGAACTTCTATTCAGATCAGTGGTCAAGGTGGGTCTCTTTGAGGAGGTGACATTTGGGCAGAGACCTGACCAATGTGAGGAAGTGAGCCATGGTGATAGGTATGGGAGGAGCATTTCAGGTGGGGAACCAGCAAGTACAAAGGCCCCATAGCAGGATATGTGTTTGGAGTATTCAAAGAATTGTGATGAGGACAGTATGGAGAACAATGAGTGAGGGACAGAGGCAGGGCCTCATTGGATCAGTTCCAGGGGGTATGAGAAGTTCCAGGAGGGTTTTGAGCAGGGGGTAATATTGATCTGATTTAAGTTTTACAAGGTAAGTGGCTTTCCTTGGAGAATTGGCTATAGGAGGCAATGTTGGCAGTGTAGAATGGGACTGAGGTCAAGGTGGTAACAGCCGATGGTGAGAAGGAGCTGGAATATGTGTTGTGGCGAGCTGGCTGGATTTGCTGGTAAATTAGATGTGGGGTGTGAGAGAACCAGTCTGGTTTTTTACATGAGTAACTGGGTGATCAGTAGGGAGGGAAGTTCACAGAATCATTAGTAATAGAGGTCTAATTCCATTGTATTCTCAAATTCTCAGACGCCTCAGCTACATCCAGTGCTTTTGAAGATTCACCACCAGGGTTATTTCCAAAGTGTAAAAATCTAGATATTGACTCACTACCATCTGTGATAAGATAAATAATATAAGCTATCATATGCCAGACTTTATTAGGCTCTTTAGTACTGTAACTTAATTTCACAGTTGCTATGATGGAGTGTGCAAAACCTGGTATGAGACCATGGCCCCAGTTGGTAGGTCATTCTAAAACTGCTTGAGCCCTAGCTGGTTTTGCTCAGTGGTAGAGCATCAGTCCTCGGAGTGAAGGGTCTCAGTGTTTGATTCCAGTCAAGGGCACATGCCTTGGTTGCAGGCTCATCCCCCAGCCCTAACAGGGGCATGTGCAGAAGGCAACTAATCAATGTTTCTCTCTCTGTCTCTCCTCCTCCCTTCCACTTTCTTTTAAATAAATGGGAAAAATATCATGGGGTGAGGATTAACAACAAAAAGCACACAAACAAACAAACAAAAAACCTTGCTTGACATGAGGCCTCCTGCCATCACTTTCCACTAATATTCTGAGACACAGCCTTCCACCTATGGAGTACGAAGCCAGTGACCTCTTAGAGGGACCATATGTCTGTTCTTAATGGGAAGCATAGATACCCTCCTCTTTGTGCCTTTAGTCTTTGTTCACTCATTGAGCTCTTCAGTGTGGAAGAGGCCTTGAGCCCTCCTCATGTACCCTACTTTATCAGGGCTAAAAAGACCATGTACCTTTGCTGGCCGACTGCCTCTGCCCTAAGTTACCAGCGAGAGCAGGAAGTAGACTGTCCATCGGCTAGAGTGGGTTAATATGAAACTGTTCTGGAAATGTCTGATTTATCAGTAATGAATTCCCCTCCCCCAAACTCCCGTCCTCCCTCTGCTATCAGCTGCCTGGACTCATCAGACTCAGGGAAATAAGGGGGAGAATTGTGCGCTGATGTAAGAAAATTATCTAATAAAAAGCTTGCTTTTTAAAAGAGCTCCTTAAATAAAAAACAGGTTTTAGAACATTGTTTCCTCAGAGCATGTTCTGTGGGAGCCCAGGGTGCTGGGAGACCTGATGGCCAACCGCTCAGCCTCTCAACCCAGCATTGCTGGGTGGGGGCAGATTTCCAGTAAGCATTCATTTCCTCTTCTAAGTCTCATGAAAATCTAAAAACCACATTGTACTTTTGGGCCCCTTAGAGCAGGCAGGAATGATTTAATCTTTTCTCGATAAAGACTCGGTACAACAAAACGGATCCAGGCCCCTCTCTCTCTCTCTCTCTCTCTCTCTCTCTCTCTCTCTCTCTCTGTCTCTCTCTCTCTCTCTCTCTCTCTCTCTCTGTCTCTCTCTCTCTCTCTCTCTCTCTCTCTTCTCTCTCTCTCTGTCTCTCTCTCTCTCTCTGTCTCTCTCTCTCTCTCTCTCTCTCTCTCTCTCTCTCTCTCTCTGTCTCTCTCTGTCTGTCTGTGTGTCTCTCTCTCTCTCTCTCTCTCTTTCTGTATGGGTATGCATTTTTCTAGTTGGCTTTTCCTTGAGCTCTTATCCCCATCTCCCACCCCCACTTTTATTAGTTTTGTGATTCTAATCTGCATGGGCTAGGAAACCAGAGAGCCATACTTGTGTGAACAGAGATAAGCCTTTGACAAAAGGGCCATTGAAGAAAGTGTATGGGTTTTAGTGCTGGGCTTCTGCATCTTTTTGGTCTGCCTGAAACATGTGTGAGTCACATCCTGGCTTTCGTGATCTGGTAGTTGAGATGGTCCTGAATACAGACAGCATAGGTGTGTTCTCCTTATCTACGACTGCATAACAAACAGCCCCCAAAGTGTTTCCTCAAAATAATTATTTTGCTCACAACTTGGTCAGACTTGGCAGTGAAGGCTTCTCTCTGCTCCACACAGTGTCAGCTAGGGAGGCTGGACTGGAGGCAGAAGGGTCTAATTACAAGATGGCTTGCTCTCCTGGCTGGCAAGTAGATGCTGGTTGTTGCATGAGAGCTTAGCTAGGACCTCAGGCCTCGGGCCTCGGTTCTTCTCCAGGTGGCCTGAGCTTTCATCAGCATGGTGACTAGGTTCTAAGGCAAGCATCCCAAGAGAAAAAGCTAAGTGAATACTGTATTGTCTTTTCTGACTAAGTCTCAGAAGTAAAATAATGTCACTTCCATTGTGCTCTATTCGTCAAGGCTGTCACAAATGCCCTCCCAGTTTCAAGGAGAAGGGCAGGAATTCCACTTCTTGCTGAGAGATTAGCAGATTTCTTGGAAGAGCATGTGGGATGTGTAATATCATTGCGCCATTTCTGGAAAATAAGATCTGCTACAGTGTTACTGTACCACTTTTATTGCTCTTCATGCTTTCCTTTATAAGTGATCTTTATTTTACTAGTTGCACTAATTATCTTGTTATCTATAAATGGATCATATGATCTTCCCTGTTTTGTGTTATCAGGAGTTGAGAACCCTACAAAGTAAGTAGGAATTGAATAGAAATCAGAAAATCTTAATTGGCAGAGTGATTTTCTAAAGATTTTCCTTTCTCTCCTGAAAGTTGGCTTTTCAAACATTTAAAGTCAGAAAGTGCTTCTTATATAATAAGTAAGAAATGTGAAGGCATATATACAATTTAAAAATAAACCTTAGGAAGGATATAGACAAAAGTGCAAGACAATTCAGTTGAGGAAAGAATAGTCTTCAAAAAATGGTTCTGAACAATTGGTCTCCACATGCAAAAGAACGAAGTTAGATCCCTACCTCCCACCATATACAAAAGTTAACCCAAAATGAATTGTAGGCCTCAATTTAAGAGCTAAAAACTGTAAAATTTCTAGAAGAAAAAATAGGTGTAAATCTCTGTGATTTGAGGTTAGGGAAAGCCTTCTTACATAAGATACCAAAAATACACACAACCAAATAAAAAAGTAGATAAATTGGACTTCATCAAAATTAAAAATTTTCGTGCTGCAAATAATAACATCAAGAAATTGAAAAGAGCCCTAGCTGGGTTGGATCAGTGGATAGAGTGTCGGCCTGCAGACTGAATGGTCCCAGGTCTGATTCTGGGTTTCGGGCTCAATCCCCAGTAGGCAGTCTGCAGGAGGCAGCTGATCAATGATTGTCTCTCATCATTGATGTTTCTATATCTCTCTTCCTTTTCCTTCCTCTCTGAAATCAATAAAAAATATATTTTAAAAATTTGGAAAGACAATCCACAAAATGGAGAAAATATTTGCAAATCATATATCCAATAAGGGTCTAGTATCTATAATAAAAAGGTAAGTAACTCAATTAAGAAATTAACAAAAAATCAGCCAAAACTGGTTTGGCTCATTGGATAGAGTGTCGGCCTATGGACTGAAAGGTCCCAGGTTCGATTCTGGTCAAGGGCATGTACCTTGGTTGCGGGCACATCCCCAATAGGGGGTGATTGATGATTCTCTCTCATCGATGTTTCTAACTATCCCTCTCTCTTCCTCTCTGTAAAAAAATCAATAAAATATATATTTTTTTAAAGAAATGAACAAAAAATCTGAATAGACATTTCTCCAAAGAAGGTATACAAGTAGCTGATAAGCATATGGAAAAAATACTCTGTCATTAACCAATAGGGAAATGTGAATCAAAACCGTAATGAGATACCACTTCACAAATACTTGGATGCTAGTATAAAAGTCAGATAACAAGTATTATTGAGGATGTGGAGAAATTGGAACCCTTATACATTACTGGTAGGAATGTAAAATGCTACAGCTGCTATGGAAAACAGTTTGTTGGTTTCTCAAAATGTTAGTTATATGACCCAGCAGTTTCACTCCTACGTATATGTCCAAGAGATATGAAAACCTGTGTCCACACAAATACTTGTACACCAATATTCATTGCAGTAATCTTCATAATAGCCAAAAGTAGAAAATAGCTGAAGTATCTATCAATTGATAAATGGATAAAGTGTGGTATATACATGTAATAGAATAGCATTCTGAAATTTAAAGGAATGATGTACTGCTACATGCCACAGCTTGGAAAAACCTTGAAAACATTTTACCTAGTGAAAGAAGTCAGTCACAAAAAACACATATTGTATAATTCCATTTATATGAAATGTCCAGAATAGGCAAATTCATTGAGACAAATTAGTGGTTGGTTGCCTCGGGCTGATGTTAATGGTAGTGGTAGGAATGGAGTTGGGGAGGATTGAGGAGTGACTGCTAATGGATTTAGGGTTTCTTTGGGGAGTAATGAAAATACTCTAAAATTGGTTCACAACTCTGAATATACTAAAAACTATTTATTGTACTCTATAAATGAGTGAATTGTATGGTATGTGAGTTTTATCTTAATGAAGCTATACATAAAAAGGATACAAAATTATGTTAGTTAGATCTAATTTTGTCTTTTTTAAAAGTTCTATATCCTTTAAAATAATGTGTATGTGGCCGAAACAGGTTTAGCTCAGTGGTAGAGCGTCAGTCTGTGGACTGAAAGGTCCCAGGTTCGATTCCAGTCAGGGGCATGTATTATACGTTGGTTGCGGGCACCTCCCTGGTAGGGGGTGTGCAAGAGGCAGCTGATGGTGGTTTCTCTCTCATCAACATTTCTAGCTCTCTATCTCTCTCCCTTCCTCTCTGTAAAAAATCAATAAAATATATATTTTTTAAAAATGTGTGTGTGTATACACACACACACACACACACACACACACACACACTTTTATGACTAAAAGGAAATATAGTAAAAAGTGTTTTTAAATAATTACATCTGGATAGTGGGATTATGGGTGTTTTCTATAATGACTATGCATTGTTTTTATAGCTAACAGCCCTGGGGAAGGGTCTTCATTGTACCTTCTTCTGGACCAAGCAGCCCTTTGTAAAACTCGCAGTGGTACCAGATTGTATATGCTCAAACCTTAGGATCAGAGGCACTAAGCTCTTTTTGTAACAAAACAAAACAAAAAAAACCTGGGCTGGTCTCCTGGCCATTTGTAATAAGAAAGGTTATATCACAAAATTAAGTAAATCTCTATGACTTTATTTTGGAGGTTAATTTTTAATAACATGTATCCCGAGAGCTACTCAGTTATGACAGTCATTTTCACCTTCAGATCATTGACCTCTCCAATTGCTTTTTGAAAGTTGCCCTTTGTAAATGTATGTATGAATATAGTTGAAATGGTGAAATGGGTAGTTTTCCATTCCTTCCTACAGCCAAACAACAATATTAGGAAACATATGTACATTTTCTTTAAGCTCTTTAATGTTTATGACATCCATTGGAAGTGAATTCTTTCTAGCAGCCTGTTGAATCCAGACTTCGTTCATAAACTGCTTTGAGACATTCTGAATGTTTTGATGCTCTTGAATTTTTCTTTCTTCTGTGGAGAGAAGCCTGAATTAGAAAAAGGAACTGTTGAAACAAAAAACAACCTGCTTGTCAGTTATTTCTGAAATTTGTTTCCACATCATATGCCTTTGGCTTGGATATAAATTGTGAAATAGCCTTTGTTTCTTGCTATTTAAAAATTTGTTGTTGTTGTAAACCTGTTTACTGTGAATAACTAGGGTTGTAAAGAAAAGTTAATAAAGGTTAGACTCTCCTGCTTGAGAAGGGAAAGAGAAATCTGTTCTCTAACGTGGCCTGCAGATCTAAGGAAGACAAGCAGTACCCTCTGTGGGCAGCAATTAGGCCCTACTGAATTCCCCCAGGGAGGAAAGCATTGTCCTAGGGTGAGTGTTTGCTGAGAAGTCTACATATCTAATCTGATCTGACTCAAAGACAAGACAGTAATCTCAAAAAGCTGGACCAGATCCCCTTAGGGGTGGAGTGCAGGTGTTCAGACTGAGAGAAAAGTGATTCCATATAACATGTACAGTTTGTGGCATAAGTGCTCACTGATCACAGACTTCTGCTCCTTTGTCCAGGACCTGGTGGTAGAAAGGTCTTGGTTAATATCAAAAGACATTTCTAGTACAGCATTAGAAAAACACAGAATACTCTTCAGACTTTAAAATGAGTGAGGTAGAACCATGTCTTCTGAAATAGAATGATCAACATGTATTATTTTTTAAAACTGTCACCAGAAAGGGACCGGGACTAGGCGGTTTGCCCTGTCATGTGTAGGAAATATTTCACAACAGCAATCCTGGTGATTTTAAGAGAACATATTTATTAAAGCTGTGGACAGTGAAACAAAGGAAAGGCTTAAGACAGCAACAGGAGTTAGCCTAGTCTGGGCTGCATGGACTCAGGAATGGAAACTGAGATACACAAAGAGGGACCTAGAAGACAGGTTAAGGGGGTCAGCCCAGAATGAGCTGCTGCTGCCTACTGCTCCCTGCTCCCAGGTTGCAAATCTTGTGGGGACCCTTGGAGCTTAGAAGAAAGAAAGAAAAGATACACACCTGAGAAAAGAAGGGAGGCATAGTCATGCTCAAGAGAATGTGCATTGGGTCTTTTGTCTTAATGGTTTTTATCTGTTTTCTAAAAGAAGGAGTTGTTTTTTGTTTTTTTTTTTGGGGGGGGGGGCGGTGTCAGGGGAGGGTCTTAACGGAATATTCAACAGCTTTCCAGGTGTGTTCTTTAATACGTTGATACATCAAAATGAGCTAATAGGGTACTTTGTGATCATTCTCTGGTCAGCTTTACTGCTTTACTTTTGTCTTGGATTTGTCTGGCTTTAATTGGATTTTTTGTTATTTATTCCTCTGACTTCATCCAGTCTGGGCTTTGCCTTGGCACTAATGAAACTAACTAAGTCTCTGTTATCTATCTCCCTGATGGGGAGGATTTAAGCTACTTACTCTCTGGTAGGGGAGGAAAAATGTAAACCATGCTTGGTTAGAGAAGATAAGATCTTGCAATTTATTAACAGGCTATTAATTGTGTTGCCTTGTTTATCTATTTGTCTGTTTCCCTCATTCCACATTCCACTTGTCAAGGAATTTTCTTAGCATCTTATTCTTCTGCCTCAAAACCAGAGTATAATTTTTTTAATGAGACTCACCAACATTTACTAGGGAGACCTTTCAAAATACTACAAATTTGAAGGACTCCTATAACATAAAATATCTCCTTTCACATGCAATAACATTAGCTAAAAATGCAAGTTAAGCCCAGGTCCCCAAAGAGAAAGATGGCACAAGCTCTGACAAGGCTAGTGGTCAGGTGGGTGCTGGGCAGTCCGATAGGCCCTCCACATGCTCAGTGAGCAGTTCACCAGGCCAGATCCTCAGAACTCCAGGCTTCAGAAAAATCACACATAGGTACATGCCATAGACCTTTGACGTACTCACAAATCATCACATTCCCAAGTGTCAAATTCATGAGCACCAAGTCCCTCTGTACTGTGCTTGTGGCCTAGGCATGCAGCTGCGACATCCACACAGTCACAGCTGCCCACCTCAGATGGCACTGGTATGAATGCATATGTATGGGGCATGGAGAAGATGAGGGTGTCTGGTGTGGTTATGGCCTCAGGCAACCCCTGAGAGCAAGACAAATGCATTTACATAAGCTATAGAAGTGAAAGGGTGAATAGTTCACATATTTCTTTTTTTAAAATATATTTTATTGATTTTTTTACAGAGAGGAAGAGAGAGGGATAGAGAGTTAGAAACATTGATGAGAGAGAAACATCGATCAGCTGCCTCTTGCACACCCCTACTGAGGGTATGCCCACAACCAAGATGCATGCCCTTGACCAGAATCGAACCTGGGACCTTTCAGTCCACAGGCCGACACTATCCACTGAGCCAAACCGGTTTCGGCATTTCACAGATTTCTGCACTTCCAGTTCCTTTGGCCTTTGCTTTCCAAGGCCAATTGTTTCTATAAAGTTACAGTCTAATTAGAAACCTCTGGATAGGGAAATGTCTGTCACACCAGGAGCCAGTCACAGCCCCTTCCGCCCTCCCACAGGACACAGGTGGAGATCCCGGAGGAGGTTGTGAGTCAGGCTCTGCCAATAAATGAGGGGCCTCAGGCAAGGCACTGAACGGCTCTGAATCTGTTTTCTCATCCCCAAAATAGACATAAAAGTTCTGTCTTTCAAGGTTTTTGGGAGGCATAAAAGAGGGAGCCTAAGGAGTCTTGTCACAGGGTCTGGCCTGGCCTCAGTGGACAGCAATAGTGACAACAATGGTGACCACCATGCATTACCTGCACTAACCTCCAAACCTCACCATACTGCCTTAGATGTCACTGCTGCCTCTCTCTCACTTCTTCTTCACCCTCACCAGGCCATAGTCCATTGTGTCCATTAGCCTTGGAAATTGGGGACTGATCTAGGTTTGCTCTTCTACCTTGCACACTGGACATGACAGATGTTTTAAATGGATTGTATCAGTTGGAGGTGAGGCCCAGGTGGGAAGAGCCACAGGAGTTTCACCAAATTCCTGAGAGTGACTCTCTAACCCAGGACTGGAATTCTCAACCTCACCTGTTTGTTACATCAGTGGGAAAGATTCTAAAAATCCTGATACCCACTTAAATTAGTATGTCTGGTGTAGGACTCAGGCATGAGTATTTTTAAGCACTCCCCTGCACCTCATTTGAAAATGCAAGTTACGCCCAGGTCCCCACAGGGAAAGATGGCACAAGCTCTGACAACATGCCTCATTTCTTAAGACCACTTTCCCAAGTCATGCTCCCTCTGCAGCCCCAGAGAACCATGAGTCACATAATCAGGAGCTTGAATGTGAGAGTCCTGAGCATTGGGAAACTCTGGGGCTGCCTGGTGAGAACCAGCCTGACAGTTACTCATCCAGGGAGCCTGAGCCAGAAGAGAGATAGGCAGACATTTGATCAGTCCCGAGTTAATTTGGGGTGGGGGAGGGGGGACACACACACAGCAATTTGGCTGAACTAATGGTATCCATAGAAAAACTGGTAGAAAAATAAAACAGGTGAAGAAGAGTTTTTATCTGTGATGGTGGCTTTTCTTTTTTTCTTCACTGACATAGTGTGGGACTTGTAATTTATAGGGGAAAAAATATAACTCATGTCATCACCCATCTCTATAGGGAAGGACCTTCAATGACTATAAAAATAAGCACCTGTCTTGTACTCCAGTTGCTTTCTAGCTAATTTTGGTCCCTTTTCTTTTGCCAGTTGCCAGAGGCTCCGCCTTCTGAGGAGGAAGAACAGGAAGCCTGGGTGAATGCCTTGCTTGGGAGAATGTTTTGGGACTTCTTAGGAGAGAAGTACTGGTCTGAACTGGTGTCTAAGAAAATCCAAATGAAACTCAGCAAAATAAAGGTATTCCAGTTCTTCATATTTCTTAATTTCTGGAAGTTTTGTACCATTGTATTGTCAGTGAAATACAATGGTACCAGTGAAATACAATGGTACTACTCTTTAAAGAATATAACATATGAGATTGTATAAAGCATATAACATATGAGAGTAGTAAGTTCTTGTCAAACAACATATCTGGGCTGTGACCTTGACCATATGACTAATCATCTGAGACTTAGTGACCATTCCTATTTACTTATTTTCTGTGTTGCCCTCATTGTAATCCATTCTAGGTAATAATCCAGAATTCGGTTTGGGAAAATGTGAGCTCTTGTAGCTCGCATTTGTCATATAGACTTTTGTTATCTCTAAGTTAACATTTAACTTAAGTTAGTATTTCCAGCCGGGACTGGTTTGGCTCAGTGGATAGACTGAAAGGTCCCGGGTTTGATTCCAGGCAAGGGCATGAATCTTGGTTGTACCAGTAAACGGTGTGCAAGAGGCAGCTGATCGATGTTTCTAACTCTCTATCCCCCTCTCTTCCTCTCTGTGAAAAATCAATTTAAAAAAATTAAACCATATCACTTAAAAAAAAAAAAAAGTTAGTATTTCCAGAGGCCACCCAGCCACACAGTCTGAGCCACACAACATGCCTCCTTTCTTAAGACCACTTTCCCAAGTCATGCTCTCTGCAAGCTGGGGAAGTTAGCACTGCACTCTAAATGTGTCTGGGGTTGACCTTTCCTTCTGGCCAGATGGTATTTTATTTTGGGCTCTCTCTTTGCTGAAGAAACAGTCCTGATGCTGATTTAGACCAACTTGGAAGTGAGTTTAAAACTGCATAAGTACTCCTGATGGTTGCCACTGAATAACTAATTTAATATCACCTTTGGTAACCAAGAGACCTTGTGTAGGTGATTTAGAAGTACGTTTTTGACCCAGCAAAGACCTAGCCAAGGAAGAGTAACTGTGGCCCCAGATCTTCACTGAGAGCTAGTACAGTCAGCAAATTAAGTCAGTGGATCTTTGGAGTCAAAATACCTTTGAGCAGCAGAAACAGATGAATCCTTTCCCTAGAAAAAAAAGCACAGTGACAGAATCTTGCCCATGACTTCAGAGAGTTCAAGGACTCCATGTTAGGATACTGAGCTAAGTGAAATTGCAATGGAAGGAAAACATGGGCATGGAAAAGCTTGGGTTGATTTTTGGGTAAAGAATAAGCTCTGTCTTGCTTCCTGAGCCCCCGATGAAGAGGAGAAGCTGCCTCCTAAGCTGGAAGAGCAGATTTTGAGGCTAAATTCAGGATAGGCATTTGGGAGCTCTGTCTGTGTTCTTCAGGTGGATTGAAGATTGAACCCACCTTGCTAACCAGGTCCATGGAGGGAGCAGGAAGCGACAATGGCCCTCCCATGTTTAGAGATGAGAGGTCCACAGCCAGCCTGGAGCTCACTCACCCTTCTTGGATTTGGGAAGTGGTGGAGAGTTTGAGTTCCTGGGCTGGCACTTCTCTTTCCCCAGAGACTGTTGTGGCCCTTCCCTGACCGGGGGGCTGGCAGTGTGCAGCAGAAAGCAAGGCATGCCTGCACTCCCGATGGGACCCTGCTCTCCCTGTGACACACATTCCAAACAATGAAGGGGGCAGTGTCCCCCGTTTCTCTTTGGAGTTGGAGGTCACCCTTGGTGAAAACAGTGGGTTCCCTCATCCCAGAGGAAGTGAGGGAAAGTCTTTTATTTTCATTTTCTCCCATTGCTCATCATGTGAGTTTCTGTGTAGAGGGCCGCCTGGGAAGGCACATGGGCAGTTTTTTTAAATTATCAGTCAGCTGAACTCAAGGCGTAGGCAGAGCCACACCTTGGAAACATGTTTCCCCAAGATGGTGGACATGTCAGCTTGGCCTTCATATCAGCCCAGGTGTTGGCAGGGGCGGGACTAGATATGTAATCCAGGCATGCTAGGGCCTACTTAAGAATGCAAATAAGTTGGTGTAACTTCCTGGTATTGGGGGTATAAATATAAATGCACAGGGAGGGGTTATGGTCCCTTGTCATTATCTTCCTGCCTCTCCAGCAGACAGGATGGCGGCCCACCCAGCTTAAAATCTATCTCTGCGTCTTCTCTCTTTATTTCTATTATTTCTCAATCCCTGGCCGCCTCCACTTAGACCCGGTTCATTCATCTCTCTTTCCGTAGGGGACGCGGAAAAGGGAGATCCCTGCCATGTTTGGCCCCCGCCAAATCAGGCCCCTGCACTTCTGCAGTTCACAAACTGGCTCCCTTTGGTTTTGTGAGGTCAGAAGTCCTGGAAGGTTAGAAAGGGGGCCAAGATCCAGCAGCGCCAGCCGTTCAGAGACAGGGGCAGTACACACTCCATCACTGGCCTCAATGCCTCCACTCTGACCACAGCTGCCACCCAGGAAGTGCCCCGTTAACCAGAGGGGACCTTACCCTGTCAGTGGAATAGACAGAATGGTAGCAAAGTATTATCTAAATTCTGAACCTACCAGTTCCCCTGCCAAAGGAACTCATTAGTATCACCAATATTCAGATATCCTGGAAGAGTTATTCCTCAATATAGTGAGTTTTGATTAATGGCTACGTAGTTAAGAGCCAGAATGGCTGGAGGAGCCTGAGCTGTCCCCCTGTGACAATGACCCTTGCGTACTGGTAGCCCTTGAAGGCCTGACATTCGGAGAACTCTTTGCTGGCCTTGCCTGCAGTCTCAGATTGTCAGCTGTGCACATGATAATGACTTGTTTTGAAAGAGCAGCCTTGTGTTTATATGGTGAACGGTGGGTTTAAAACAAGCTGATTTTCTGCCCCAACAGCAAGTATACTTGGCCTCAGCCAGCTTTTCTAACACTACCATGGGATTCTCAATATTTAGGGGCCTCTGCTATTACTGCATATAGCTGCTCACGTGCCACCCACCCGAGAATGTCCCATACACCTGCACGCCAGTCCCCCATTTAAGAGGATAAAGAACATGCAGTGAGTTCCTGTCACACTGTGGTGCCCTTTGGGTGGGCAGAACGAGGTTCTGGTTGAAAAGAGCAGGAGGAGTGGCCTTTCTTTGCCTTCCCTGCAGGGCAGGAAGGAGGCCGTTCCAGGGCCTGGATGCCAGAGTGTTGATTCAGATCAGAGATCTGAACAAGGAGGGGCTGGGGGGTGAGAATCTTAGAATTGGGTACTCAGGCAAGTAAGTAGGTTACCAGACCCTGCTGATGATCCCCCTCCTCATTCTACTTACTGGAAATGATAGCCATCACATCCTGCCCAGTCTTTCTCCTCCAGTCCCCTCCTCATGTTAAAGTCCTTCTGGAACTGCAGGGTGTAGGATGGGATGGGGTGGGAGGTTGGACAGGCCATGAGGAAGGACAGCACGTTCCTGTCTCTGTATTTACTCCTCTTGCTCAGTGTTGGACACCTGTTCCCATAGAAACCCAGCATGCTCCTGACATGTGGGTATTAGAATGACAATAATAGACTAAAAGCATGGGGGCAGGCAAGGGTCCAAGATTTTGGTTACATTCTTGCCAAACAGCATTCTGTAGGCTGATTGGGAGGTCAGGGACCATATAACATTAATGCTTTGGAATAAGCTATTCCAAGCACAGAAACCACCAATTCAGAAATGTACATTTGAATACTGTCTCTAGTCCTGCCTTGGCCATCACAGACTTCATAACCTCTTTCCATTAACCCCTCCCCACTTGCAGAATATCAGAGATAAAATTCTCTGGCTGGTGAATCCTAAAAGTGTGTAAGTTTCTCTGCAGAGAGACAGCTGAAGAGGTCCAGTCAGAAGAGGCATAAATTCATGCCTGCCTAGATGCTACTTCATTTTATGGGGAATGTTTAACATAACTTTAATTTAAAAATCTATTCTAAATTTTACAAAATTATTCTAATGTTCAAATGGAGAAATTAGAGAATTATAAAATCTGGGGGGAAAGAGGACTTGCCAGATTTTTAAGTGTATAAAGAAAGCTATAGTAATAAAAGAAGTTTGATACTGGTAGAAAGCAGGATGCTCAGTACAGTCTCCAGTGTATTGGGAATCTTATATTTAAAGGTAACATTAGTAGTGAAAGTATTGGAGGTTCAATAAATATGTTAAGATACCTCACTAATTATTAGGGAAAAAATCAAAGTGATTCCTAATTTACATCTTACACTAAAATTAGGAATAGACTAAAGATTTTTAAAAAAATACACATACATAAATTGAGGTGGAAGAAATACAGATGAATTAATTCTGTAGTCTTGAGGCAAAGTAGGAATTTCTAAGCATGATATTAATCCTTTTATGTTATTTCCTCTAGAGTAAGTTCCTACTGATAGCTGTATTAGTTTGGGTCCCACTCAAATGGAGGAACCTAAGAGGAAAGTTTAATAAAGCAAGATTTATGAAAGTGTGGTTTCTATGTAGAGAAACCAAAAGGGATGGTGTAGCACCCCAGCAGTGAGGAGCAGCTGTGTGTGGGAGACGGAGCGGGGGACATACACACACACACACACACACACACACACACACACACGTGTGCTGCCTGTTTGACAGGAGCTGTGGCCTTTAATAGAGGGAGGGGACAAATGTCGGACAGCATTCTTCTCTGTAACTTACCTTCCTACAGGTGCATCTCATTGGCCAAGTCCAACCAGAAGTCAGAGGGCAAGAGAGCTTATCAGCGTGATTTGCTCAGGCCAGCCCTGTTATAGGGAGAAACTAGAATCCAGGGGCAAATGAAAAATGTCAGCATAGGGTCAAGGGATGTGGGTGTTGTTTTTTTCAAGGATTTCAATAAACAGTGTGAATTTGCCTGTCAGAAATGTAGCAATTTCATAATTCCCACTGGTAGTCTAAGAGCTATCCTTTTTCCCACACATTAGCCAACAGGGTATTATTAACCTGACCAACATGGCCAGCTCCTTCTCCACAGTCAGGTCTCTGGCCAAATGCAGCTCCTCAGATAAGCTTTCACTGGCCTCCTTAGCCAACATAGCCAACCCCACTTATGCCCCAGAATCCCTCTCTCCCGTTTTATTTTCTCTGTAGCGCTAACCAATCTCTAAAGTTGTTTGTCTACTTGGTTATCTGTTTCTGTCTCTCCAAAATAAACCCCATAAGAGCAGAGATCTTGTCTGCCTCATCCATGGATCTGTCTGTAGTACAGTGCCTAGTAGTGGTATGTGCTCAATAAATTTGGGTTAAATAAATGTGTCCCCAAAACTTTAACCATCATTCCTTCTGACAGTATGTTCAATTCTAACATTTACCAGGGTACTAATGTTTCATTCATTGTTTACTTCTTTTCTCCAGCTCCCCTACTTTATGAATGAACTAACTCTGACGGAACTTGACATGGGGGTGGCTGTGCCAAAAATACTTCAGGCCTTCAAGCCTTATGTCGATCACCAAGGTAACTCTTAATTGACTTTAAAGAGGAATGACACTTATATGAGTGTGAAAATGTCTCCATCACTGCAGGTTGAATACTAAGACTTTGTGTATGAAGGGAGTTGGGGCTTTTTAAGTTGTGTATTTCATGTTGGTTGTTTTTGTTCTTAACAGTCCCAGCTTCACACTGATAGGAATAGATCAGGACTCCCGCTCCTATTCCTTTTAGTCTCTTGAATCCTTAAAAAATCCTCCTTCAGCCCTAACCAGTTTGGCTCAGTGGATAGAGCATCAGCCTTCAGACTGAAGGGTCTTAGGTTCAATTCCAGTCAAGGGCATGTACCTTGATTGTGGGCACATCCCCAATGGGGGGGTGTGCAAGAAACAGCTGATCAATGTTTCTAACTATCTCCCTCCCTTCCTCTCTGTAAAATATCAATAAGATAAATATTTTTTATTATTATTTATTTATTTATTTTTAAAATATATTTTATTGATTTTGTACAGATAGGAAGGGAGAGAGATAGAGAGTTAGAAACATCGATGAGAGAGAGTCATCGATCAGCTGCCTCTTGCACACCCCCTACTGGGGATGTGCCCACAACCAAGGTACATGCCCTTGACCGGAATCGAACCCAGGACCCTTCAGTCCCCAAGCTGACGCTCTATCCATTGAGCCAAACCGGTTCGGCAAGATAAATATTTTTTTTAAAAGTCCTCCTTTAGCCCAAAGATATTCATATGTCAGTTGGACCTGAGCTTTTGTGACTTAGAAAACAGTCCCTGCTCTGTATGGCTGCAGCCCTTGCAGTGTGAGCCTCACTCCCCTGTCCCAGGCCTCACATATGCATCTGCCCAGCCCTGACCTCTTTCCAGGAACTGCCTCTCCTGTATTTCCACTTCTTTACCTCGCCCCAACCTCTAGCTTGCAGATTCTTTGATCTTCGTATTTTACATCTTTTGTTCTTACCACTCTTAGAAGGCACTTAGGTGTTTGAACAAGGAAGACATATTGTCAGACGATATTTTGAGAGTAAGTCTCTCGTTGGAGGAAGGTTCTCAGATTTGGTTTTTAAGACGTGCTACTGGCATTATTTATGCCTACTCGTGTGTGTTGGGAAAGAAAGAATTGATTAGAATGCTTAGAGAGTTTAAGTAAATGTAAAGATTATGTGTCTTTTATGGCATGTAGTTTTAAAAGGACCTTGATGGAAATTTAGTACTCAAGAGTTTGGTAAAAAGAAGATGGAGCCAGATAGGCAAGAATAGTCTGTGAGCAGGCAGGAAAAAATGTGCCCATATGCAAACAGCTGACTTTTTATCTTTTTCTTTTTCTTTTTCTTTTTTTAATTTTTTACCTCTTGACACCTTTATTGACATGATTCACATGCCAGGGGGAACTGGGGTTTGCAGCTGCCTTTTTTTCTGTAATATCCCTTTCAAGTGAACCTCTTTTCACCTACACTGGATTTACATTATTCCTCCAAAGTCTCAGGAACAAAGTAGGGAAGAAAATAATTACAACTTTTTAAGAGAGTGATATTTGTTTTTGAAGTAAAGGTTTTGGAAAATTTAGACATTCTAGCATCTACTTGTGTCTCTGTATAGCTATATCAGATGGCTCTTGGACCATATTTAGTGAAATAATTTTCTGTGTTGTATACATCTGATATAAATTCAAAGGGATTTTTTTTCCCCTAGTGCTACATTAGCAGCCCTATTTCTGTGGCGATGTTTCAGCAGACAGTGAGCCCATATTTTCATGTTTTGAGCATCTCATTGATTTCAGAGAAAGGTAGATCAGAGTAGTATTTGCAAATGTAAAAGTCCACCTAATACTGCACGTTGAGATCACCTATAACCACTAAATTATGTCTGCACTTTAATAAATCTGAGTGCTCCTGGGTTTGGTTAATTCCTGGTTCACTAAGAGTAAAACTAGAACAGATTCTTTGCAAAGGATTTAACTGGAGTTCTCTTAACCACATTTGGAATTTTAAAGGACACATCATCTGAGTTAGGTGTGTAGCTAGAATCTTTGCTCCATTGTCGATGCACAAGTGCTGCCTTTCTTCCTCTGCCTCTAGCAGGCTCTGGGTTGCCCTTTACTCTTTGCCTCTAGGAATTGACTTGCATGTAACAAGCTGGTAAATGATCAGCTAACATAACCCTTCTGAGCCTCGGGCTTAAAGAAAGTAAATAGTATGTGTACATGCTCTGTTTTCCAGTGCATTAACACTCTTATCTCAGGGCCGAATTCGCCCTTGGTTGAATTAGAAATTTCTAATGACAAGGAAACAGTGCCACAGCTGGGCCTTGCTGCATCTGAGTGTCCCTCTAGCTTTGAACTCTGTAGCCTCCCAGGGCAGCTTTGTCAGGCCCTGAGTGAAATTCACCAGCCATCTAAATCTGCAGTCTCTTTCCTGTCCCTCTGAAGAGAGACATTTCACTAGATCACCGGTTTTCAACCTTTTTCATCTCATGGTACCCATAAACTAATTACTAAAATTCTACGGCACACCAAAATTTAGATCTTTTTGGCGATCAGATTAAAAAAGTATAATTTTGATTCATTCACACCAGAAGTGTTGTGCTGGCTGTTGTCATTTTTTTTTATTTGACACTGTAAGGGAAAAGAAGTCAGTGCCTGTGTCTGACTGGTCAGGTATTGTATGTTTTAAAATTTCTCGTGGCACACTCATTGAAATCACTGCATTAGATAAATCAAAGTTTTGTCAGTGTTTAGTCCATTTGCTGCTTATTTAACTCCTTTCAGGGCAAATTTTAGAGATCTGCCTGCTTATGTAACGAAGGAGGAAAGGTATGATAAAGACATAAAGCCTGTGGGTTTTAAAAGTTTGACCAAATTAGATTTTTTTCATGTCTGCAAAGAATACAAATGTTGGTTAAAACAGAAATGAAAACAAAAGAAATACATGTTTTGGATTCCATTGCTAAGGGAAACTCCTTTTAGCGAAATTAAAACCAGGGTGACTTGCTAAAATGGACTCTGAAAAGCAGAGCTCACCTTCCAGGGGAAGGCAACCCAGGGTGAAGAGGTCTCACCAGCTCTTGGGAGAGGCACTTCCCATGGGATCCCCCACACATACTTTTTTTTTCTTTAATGTTTTCCTACTTGTGCTTGTTCATTGGCGGCACATGGCTCAGGACGGGTATTTGGTCCAGAGGTTGTTGGATCGCCCATCCTCCAGATGCTATTCTTTAGGGAGCACTGAGTGGTGGTTCTGAGCACCAGGCCTGGGGCCAGACTGCTGGGCTCACAGTTCACCCATCCTACAGCTTAAAACTGGTAACTGCTACCAGAATAAATGAAAAGAAGAATGCCGTTGTCAGCTTCTGTGACCTTGCAGTGGAGCAGTAAAATCACACATTGACCATGTTGGCTGTCCAAGTTCTGGGGCACACAGCCAATTTCTATGTAGTTAATAAAGTGTAATAACTGCCAGAAGGCATCTTCACTTCCCGCCCATGGCAGGTGGTTAGAAACTGGCTTTGTACCTTCTGCCTTATCTCCTACTCCTCCCAAACCACATATGTCTGTAACCATGGAGTGTGTGTGGGTCTCCTCTTCTCTTCAGGCTATACAATGGGGTATAGAATCCTGTTTCTATAACCTCCCCGCCCCCCCCCCAAAAAAAAACTGGCCTCCCCTTTCCACCCCTAATCCCCACCCAAGCTACTGCCTCCATGTCCAGCCTCTGCGGTCCACTAGGCCACTCCTCTCAGCCAGGGTTTTTCCTGTTGTTTTATTAACTCTGTTGAGATAATGTTTGCTTCTTCATTTATTCAGCAGCTGCATTATAAGGAAAACTGGACTGTTTAGAAAAGGGAAAATATTACCCATCACCCCACCATTCAGAAACAGCTAGGGTTACCTTTATGGTACATTTGGTACATGTTTTGTTTATTCTCTCCTAATATTCTTTTTCTTCTGGTTAAAAATTGATTTAGAACTAGGTACTTAAAGAATTAGGCAGACTGACTACATAGACTTGAGAGGACAAAGATAACCTAGCCCAGACTCTGCTGTGTTGTAGCTGTATGATGGGTAGACAAAAGCCCAGTGAGTGTGACTTGCCAAAGATCACCCAGCAGCTCACCTTCCATCCTGTTCCTCGGCTTCTAGGTCAGAGGCTCTCCATGAGCAATAGCTCTGCAGACAGGCCACCATGTTGGGGCCCTGGTTCTTTGCTGACCAGCAGTGAGATCTCAGGAAGTTACTAACCACTCGGCCTCAGTTTCCTGATCCGTAAAGTACTGGTGTTGGTAGTGCCTCCCTTTTCCAGCCGTGGTGGAGATAAAATGTTACATGTAAAATGCTCAGAGAGGGCATACGGCACATAGTAAGCCGTTAGTGTTTGCTGCTGTCACAAAGCCTTGTTGTCAGTAAAAGCTTTCTAATAGGGAATCGCTTCTGTCAGCCAGGTTTTCATCTTCATGCCTGGGACCAGTGTTAGAATGAACCAAGGATATGGACTGTGCTCCTTAGGATCAGATTAATTCATTTAGTCTTCAGGATATTTGCTTCATGTATTTAAGTATGCAAATAGTCATTGAGCATCTACCATGGGCATTTCTGTACTGATTTTGCCCCATTTCAGGATACCCAAAATAACCCACATTTCAACTGAAGGTAAAAAGATTACTGTGACCAGGATAGGAATCTTGTCTGTCTTCAGATGCCTTCACTCATGACTGGCAGTTTCCATCATCTACCACTCATCTTCTGGACCTTAACTTAGAGTACCTGGTGCCTTTATCCAGTGATGGGACTAAAGATACTCTGCCAGCTGATCGTTTCAGAAACTGGAACCAGAGTCAGGCTGTGACCTGTCCATTTTCTTGCTACAACACCCTTGACAACAGCTATGTAGGGCTGCACATGATGACAGGGCCAGACTGTGGGGCTTAGTACTCACAGGAATGGCATGTTCACTTTTCTAACTAGATCCTGTTGCAGAAAGAAAAAGACTTTTTATAGAAAGGGAGAAAAAAGACTCA